TATGCCAAACCCCTGGATCGATCGATGTAATCGATTTAATCGATTGATCGATCGATGATTTAATCGACTCGAAATTGATTTAATCGATGCACGCGAATTGAAAGAGTCTAGTAAGTTTAATCGATCAGACGATCAGTTTAATCGATCTATGCCCAAATTCAAATCAACTTTTGCCTAAATTTAGCTAATCTTTTGAAAAATTCTTCTACAAACCAGAATAATACCGAAAATTGACAAAATAGGCTTGACTACACATTATTTACTCTATTTTTTTCCCTCAATTTCTTCTTACAGGTTTTCCCAAATCATTTTCATGATCAGAAATAAAAGAAAAAAGAAAAAGACCCGTTAAGCTCATTTCTCTGTGTCAACTTTGTCCGCAAAAAAAAAGACAAAAAGAAAAGACAAAAAAAGACAAGAAAGACGAAAAAAAGCCCAAGCAGAGATCCAAAAAATGGGCCCTCTTGAGAAACATGAAGAAAAACGAAGAGATTCAAGAGAAATGAAGAAATTTGGCGGCGAAATTGTCGAGTCTCCGGTAAACGGTCGTAGTTTTTCTTTGAGTTTTTTTTTTGTTTTCCGGATCAAGTCAACATTTTGATGTGAATCAGCGGGCAATCATCGATTTCTTTTCTGGCCTATTCTGCGCTATTCTGCGCTATTCTGCGCTATTCTTTGCCTTTCTGCCTTCTGCCTTCTGCCTTTTGCCTTTTGCCTTTCCCCTTTCTACCGTAAACTTTGATAAAAATGGGTACCTCGACTCGGTATAAACCGTTGCCGATCAGTCGAATTTTCGTGGATCGAGAGGGGAAATTTGTGCGCAGAATGGATATACCGTTAGATTCGTGAGTTATTTTTGATAAAAAATGATCTGGTTTTCTTGTTTTCTTGAGTTTTCTTGTGTTTTCTTGAGTTTTCTTGAGTTTTCTTGATGTTAATCATCTGTTAATCAACATCAATCAATCAACAATGTTATTTTAATTGATACTGAGCTTAAGATTGAGGCAAAATGGTTTTACTTTCGACCATTCATTGTTAAAATTTAGTGAAATTGTTTGTTCTAAGGCTTTATGCAAGGTAAGAAACGGATAGTTAGTATTTAGAAGTCATTCGGGATTCGGAAAGCTATCTAATCGCTCAATAACATCAATACTTTCATCTTACTACCAGATCCAAGAAACTAAAAGTTTCTATATCTTTCCTTTCCATTAATGATGAATTTGCATAGTTGAAAACCCTAATCTTTTTGTTGGTTGAAAACCCAATCTTTTGTTGGTTGAAAACTTGGGAAAGTCTTGGAAATGAAGGCTTTTATTTGTGACTTTTATTTATGGCTTTTATCAAGCTTATCAAGCTTTATTAAGACTTGATTTTTATTAAAGCTTGATCTTGATAAGGGCAAGCTTGAAGGGGGACTGAAGCTAACATCTAGGGGTTAGGGTAGGGAAAGTTGTCTGTTGAGTTAAAATTTTAGAACAAGAACAAGTACACGAACAGTACAAGTGTTTTAATCTATCGTTTACGTATGTTTTTCCTTGATATCCTTGATGATAATGTTCTTTCGTGGCTCGAGAGGGGAAATTTGTGCGCAGAATGGATATGTCGTAGCCGATTATGAATTTCAGCCGATTATGAATGAGTGGGTCTAGGAGCGTCCAACCATCAAGTATTTGGTATCATTCAACGCAGAATCATTGATAATTATGTTAAATTTTTAAAATTAGCAAGATTTGATGAAAAGAAAAAAAATTAGAGCAAAAAAACTGTTTGTTCGAGAGAAAACTTTGAGGTCCCATAATTTGTGTTCTTTTCATCAAATCTTGCTAATTTTAAAAATTTAACATAATTATCAATGATTCTGCGTTGAATGATACCGAATACTTGATGGTTGGACGCTCCTAGACGCTCCTAGACCCAAATACTTGATGGCTGAACGCTCCTAGACGCTCCTAGACCCAAATACTTGATGGCTGAACGCTCCTAGACGCTCCTAGACCCAAATACTTGATGGCTGAACGCTCCTAGACGCTCCTAGACCCAAATACTTGATGGTTGGACGCTCCTAGACCCACTCATTCATAATCGGCTACGGGGGTCCCGCCGATTTTGAATGAAACGTTGTAGCGCCGGCATTTTTTAACCTAAACTCACAAATTTGGTACCAATCGACGCAGAATTCAATTCGCTACAAGATGATATAATTATTGTCCTCATACATTTAAAGGGTTGCTCTACTAGAAAGATTTGCCAAAAAATTTCATTCATAATCGGCTACGACAGATATACCGTTAGAGTCGTGAGTTATTTTTGGAAAAAAAATCATCTGGTTTGCTTGTATTTTCTTGATGTTAATCATCTGTTGATTTTTTTTTCTTGACTCCCTGAGAATGTATGAATTGATAAAGTAGTCCTCCTGTAACGTAATCCCTGTTCTAAAGCATGTCAACTTTTGAAAGCTCTCGTAATCTTGGCTCTAGTTTCAATCATCAATTCTTTTAACCTTTGAACGCCTGCAAATTTTCGAGAAAAATTCCCATATTCCTATAAGCCAAATTTTTGTGATTCTTTTGTCGTCTTTGTTTTTGGAAATTTTAGTAGATAAAACCCTGCTAGATTTTGAAAGTTTTCAATTCTATTGCACATAAAAAGGCTGAGAAACTTCGCTAAAATCTTCAATACTAAACTTGTTATTATTTTTGTTTTATATTAAGCTAAAAGAAAGGTTTTTCATGGGAGTGGGACAAATGCGACCTTTTTTTTTTGCGCACCCGGACATTTGCGCACCTTTTTCTCCGCACTTAGCCCATTAGCGCACCTTTTTTCGCGTTTTAAAGAAGCTCTAAAAAGCTAAAAAGCTAAAAAAGCTCTAAAAAGCTAATATTAGCCAATTTCTATTCCAAATGTTGTTTTTCTAGGTAATTTGAGGGCGTAGAATCGAAATTTTGGCATATCAGAGCTTGTGGAAGCGAACGGACGGAGTTATACAAAGAGAAAAATCAACAATTTTCTGTAATTTGACCTAGCCGTTTTGAATTCGATGATTTAAACGAATGATAATCTTCAATTTACCCTTCAATTTACCCTTCAATTTACCCTTCAATTTACCCTTCAATTTAATCTTCAATTTATTTTCCAATTTCCCAAGTTCAATCAATTTCAAAAGACCGATTCGAACTCTAAAAGGGTCATTTCTCTCATTCGAAATACCAAATCAATAGTAATTTATCCACTCTTGCAATTTCATAAGCTTATCATTATCATCAAGCCACTCCTTCGTCGTCATCTTCTTTCCACCACCAGAAAAAGCTATTTAGTTCCCCACAGTTCCCATTTAGTTAAGAAGCCGCCTGTCATGGCGTGGGTTAGAGTCAAGATATAGCCTAGTATTGTGTGTGTTGTTGTATTGTGATTGATGTACAGTCGAACCTCTCTATAACGTAACTCACGGGACGGCTATAGCTTACGTTATATAGAGGTTTACGTTATATAGAGTGCCGTTTTATATAGCCTAACGTCGGCCGGGACCGGTCACGCCTTACGTTATAGAGAGGTTTACGTTATATCGAGGTTCGTTATAGAGAGGTTCGACTGTATATCGTAAATAAATCACATCCGGATTTCCCCAGTGTACTCAATAGTTTACAGTAAGAATACTGTAGTTTGAATTAAGAAGCTTTTCACTCTAGCACCAGGTAGCTTATTCCTTATATTCCTTTATCAATTTTTTTATTACACCTCTTGCTTCTTAATCTTGCTTCCTTTATCAATCTTTTATTACACCTCTTGCTTCTATTGCTCAAAAACATGAACTTTTTCCTTTTTCCATGAACTCAAGATCCATGCACACCAAATCTCTTCATGTCAAGTGAATCTCGTGAACGACAAAAGGAAAAGAGATCTAGATCTCTGAAAAACCAAAAAAAAAAAAATAGAACAGTTGACCCTTTTCACCTAAAAGAACGAAAGAGACAAATCTGCCACAAGAATTCATCAAAAAACGGGGAGTGGCCGCAATCTAAATTGCATGAAATCTCGAATTTTTCGGGGCAAGGAAATTTTTGCGAACCTCCGAAACGAACACTCTCGCTTTTTTTGAGGGTAAACACCTATTGGATGTTTGTGATTAAAGTTATTCAGCTATAGTATAGCTATAGCTATCGTTCAGCTATTCAGTCATCCATTATCTCATATTTTGATCTAAATTCCGACATTTCTTCCAATCAATCTTCCAATTCACTCAATCATTCACGAGAAAAACCCCAAAACCCCAAAAACAAAAAAAAACAAAGAACGAAACTCCAAAAACCCTTTCATCTCATCAGGAAAATCCCCAAAAACCCCTTCACCTCCTTATCGAAATTCATCAAGTAACATCATTTGTTTCTCTTTTATCTAACTCTCTCTAGAGCATTCTCTAGATAATTTCTATATCTATTTATAGCTGAAAAGGCTTTAGGTTAAGTCTTTGCCTCATTTCCTGGAACTAATTAAAAGTCAGCTCTTGCCACACATTCACTAACGTTTTCACGGAAACTTTCGAAATTCTTCCCAATTTTTGTTCTTTGATCTATAGCTGACAATATTAAAGGATACTCAGAAAAAACTTTGAGGGTTAAAGCTCTAAAATTACTGTACAATCTTGCTTCTATCTAAAGTTACAGTATCTTGTCTAAATTTACGTCTACCTTTACGTCTACCGTCTACCGTCTACCGTCTACCAGTTGACGTCTCTATTTTATAATAAGCTATCCAAAGCCCTACAGTCAAATCAGCTACGGTTTCAACGCATCCCTTCATACTGTTTCATCAAGTAATACAGTACTCACATCTACAGTACTCACATCTATAGTACTTGCATCTACAGTACTCACATCTACAGTACTCGCCTCTACAGTACTCCCATCTACAGTACTCACATCTACAGTACTCACCTCTACCGTACTCCAATTCCTCTGCAAACTTACCCATTCTATAACTTGACAATCCCCCCCCCCTTCACAATGCCTTCCCGTGTTTTCCACTCATTGAACTCAATGAATAAACATTTCTCTCCATTACCCGAAGACGAAAGAAGTACTCCATCGATGTCAAGAGAAGGATTCACTCTTGATATCCTTCTTCCACCAGTCATTCCACAAGTGCCCTGTTTCGCGTCTGTACAGTAAGTTTCTTTCAAAGATTACGATCAAAGCTTTGATCTTCTTTTAAAAATTTAGATATCATTGCGTTTATCAAAAAAAAAGTAAAATTTTTTAAGATTCATTACTTTGTTGGATTTCTGTTACCGTATTTTCTCTAATAGTAGTGCACCACTCATGTACCACTCACCACTCTAATAGTAGTGCACCACTCATGTACCACTCACCACTCTAATAGTAGTGCACCACTCATCTAATAGTAGAGCCGAGTTGGTGACGATCTTACGGAATTGGGAAAAAGTGAAAAAATATCATAAGTTTGCTAGCTTACTGTATTAAAAATCTTAAATTTAAGTAAAAAAAAGTTAAAAATAAACAACACAGAGCCAGTTCTGACTTTGGCGATGAGATAAATGCGCAAAAAAACCAAAAATTTGGCTTTACTTTACTTTGCTTTACTTTACTTTACTTTGCTTTACTCTACTTTACTCTACTTCTACTTTACTTTACTTTACTTTACTCTTACTCTACTTTACTCTACTCTACTTTACTTTACTTTGCTTTACTCTACTCTACTTTACTTTACTCTACTCTACTCTACTTTACTTTACTTTACTCTACTTTACCCTACTTCTACTTTACTTTACTTTACTCTACTCTACTTTACTTTACTTTACTTTACTTTACTCTACTTTACTCTACTTTACTTTACTTTACTCTACTCTACTTTACTCTACTTTACTTTATTTTACTTTACTAGATCAGATTTATTTAAATCAGATGATCAGATTTTTGTTATCCAAACTCGTGCTGACTATTTAAAATATTTTTTTCTGCAATTCACTATGTTCCAAATGTCCCACAAATCCTAGCAACAAACGCACAGCCAAAAAGTCATTTACAATTGATGTCCCGTAGAGAAAAAAGAAATTTCACTCTCTCTCATTTTTCCGCTCGAATTCATTTGACTTTTATGAATCTATTTGAAAAGCTTTATCTTTCTTTTTAGTTGAACATCTTAAGAACATTGCTCTTTCTTTGTTTTGTCTTCTTCTTTTGTTCTTCTCAGCTTCTCATCTTTCAAAATCTCTTCTTTAATCCCAGGGTTAAGCTTGACATTGATTTTCGTTATTTTTTTGGCTTTATTCTGAAATTTCTGGAAATCTATAGGTAAATTTTCTGAAAATTTATAAAAAAATTGAATTTTCATTTGATTATACTTTTTAACTAGTTAAAAAAGAGAATTAAACAACTTGGGTAATTGAAGAGAAAGTTTAGACGCTTGAAGTTAGCTTGAAGTTGCTTGAAGCTTGAAGTTGCTTGAAGCGCTTGAAGTTAGCTTGAAGTTAGCTTCAGTTAGCTTGAAGTTAGCTTGAAGTTAGCTTGAAGTTGCTTGAAGTTGCTTGAAGCTTGAAGTTGCTTGAAGCTTGAAGTTGCTTGAAGTTGCTTGAAGTTGCTTGAAGCTAGCTAGCTTGAAGTCGCTTGAAGCTTGAAGTCGCTTGAAGTCGCTTGAAGCTTGAAGTCGCTTGAAGTCGCTTGAAGCTTGAAGTTCTAAGTAATTTAGCTCTAAGTTTTGAATTTTATCATGAAAACTAAGAAATAGATCTGTAAATGTATCAGGCTTTACCAGTTTCTAGCTTCTTTTTCAGCTTCTTTTTCATGAACAATAGTGTCATCTATTTGTTTGCACTTTTCATTTCGTAGCTTCTTTTATCACTCCTTGTTTAGCAAACAAAAAGCCTTCTTTTTGCCAAAACTCGCCAATCAATAGTGTCATTTTCTTTTGTTTCCTTTTGAAATTTCTCTTTTTTAACTTGAAACTCTCAAAAGATTTTATTCTTTTTTAATCATTTTACTGCTTTTTAAAGACCAATACAAATCTTATACTTCCAAAATTTTTGTGTAATTAATTTTTTGCAGTGCATTCACTTAAAAGCTATTCTTTTTTAAACGGTTTTAAAAGGTTTAAAAGCAGGCTTTAAAAATCGATTCTTTTTAATAGATTCTTTTTAATAGACTCTTTTTAATAGAGTCCTTTTAATAGATTCTTTTTAATAGAGCCTTTTTAATAGAGCCTTTTTAATAGAGCCTTTTTCTAGACTCTTAATAGATTCTTCTAACTTTAAAGAATCACTTTAAATTTGAATCTAAATTGCTCAAACTGCTTCTAAACTTGAAAACCTACCAATATGATCATTTTTTTCTTTTTTGATCTTAGGTGTTCCTATTTTGAATCACAACCTGCTCACAGATCACAACCTGCTTCCACATTTCTCTATCCCTTGCTATTGTCATCCAGTGTTTCCTATCTTGGTTGTTCCTGGTTCGAAGTCTTCGACCTGCTTGTGCTGGTGGTGGTTGCACTCTAGTCATCCTTTCTCTGACCCTCTCTGCCACTCTTGTGTTCCACCTCGTTGCTGGTCTTCCGATGGACCTCTTCTGGTCTCGTGGTAGCCACTCTGTGATCCGTATCGTCCATCTGTCGTCTGTTCTTTTGGCTATCGGAATCGGCTACGTGACCGGCCCATCTGAGTCTTTTTCTCTCGATCACTTCCACTGGATCTCTGAGTTCCAAGAGCTAGCGCATATCCGTACTTCTTAGGTCTTGGCCGAGCTGCGTCTTCCTATTGTGCCCGAGGAGGTTCCTTTCAAGGGCTCGATGCGTCGTTCTCAGGGCTCGTTCAGTGGTCTGTGTCGTGGCCCAGGTCTCTGTCCCGTAGCAGAATGCCGGGAGAACGGTGCTGTCGAAGAGGTGTGCCCGAGTCCTCTGGTGATTCTTGAGTATCTTTGTGACTTCTTTGATGCTTCCTAGTGCTGTCCAGGCCGCTCGTCTTCTTCTGGCAACTTCTGGAGGTGTGCCAATCTAATTATGTGAATATAAATTTGAAATACAAAGTAGAGATAGAGTTGATCTTTATTCCATTCTAAGCACGGATAAAGTTGATCGTTTTTATTCCAGTTAAAGTTGATCTTCTTTATCCCATTTCACTTTTGTTTTTGAAACTTCAGACTACACTTTTTCCATTTCCCATTAGAACTTCTATCGCCCATTTCTTTTCTTTTTTTTGGACTATCCAAATTGAGTCAACTCCTCTTTTCTCCCACTCAATTCTCCCATTTTCCCTTCTCCCAACAACTTTCAACGATATTCAAAGAAAAACTTCAGACTTCACTTACAAAATGTTAATTTTGTGAAGCACTTGCCCTTTTCTTTTCCCAATTATGGCCTCTTTTGACAGGAAAATTGAAAAATGGCAAGAACAGCTGTTTAAAACGAGGTGAGTGAAAAGGAGAAAAGAAAGAAAGGAATAAAGAAAGAAAGAAAGAAAAGAAGAAGATTAGTCTTGAAAGTTTTCCCTCAAATTGAAATATTCTTTTCTTTCTTTTCTGATATTCAGTTGTGCATTTTCTTCTATAAACTAATGGCTAATTTAACTAATTGAACTTCTATATAACTAATGGCTGCAATCGAGAAGAAACTGTTGTAAGCGCTTTTGAATCAAATTGAATCAAATTTTAAAGAAGTATACCTGACGAAAATAGCACAGGGTTATTTGAAAATCATTTTTTTTCAGGTCAGCTTTTATTTTGTTTTTTGTTTTGTTTTGTTTTATTTTGTTTTGTTTGTGTCTTTTTCAGAAGTCTAACCGAACTTCTCGTATTGCTTTGCGACTTTCAGAAGTCTAACTGAACTTCTGGTATTGCTTTGCGACTTTCAGAAGTCTAACCGAACTTCTGGTATTGCTTTGCGACTTTCAGAAGTCTAACCGAACTTCTGGTATTGCTTTGCGACTTTCAGAAGTCTAAACGAACTTCTATTATTGCTTTGCGACTTTCAGAAGTCTAACCGAACTTCTGGTATTGCTTTGCGAGGCTTTTCCTTGCTCTTTTCTGTTCTAATATACTGCTAAACTGCAATATACTGCTAGATTTTTTTAAAGTACAACCTCCCTCGAGCCAATCTAAACGTTTCTCTCGATCCCAATCTAAACGTTTCTCTCATACAATCGATTATCTCTTTGTATCGTTGTATCAAAAGTCGTTATATTAAGGCTTTCAATTAGGTCAGTGATCAAGTTCTATCGAGCAAAAAAATCGTTATATCAGAAGTCTAACCGAACTTCTCGTATTGCTTTGCGAGGCTTTTCCTTGCTCTTTTCTGTTCTAATATACTGCTAAACTGCAATATAGTGCTAGATTTTTTGGCTTAAAACAAGATAAAACGACCGATTAATCGTCGGCTTTGTGCTTGTGTTCGTTGTGAAAGAATTTCACGCAAAAATAAGAGAATTATGAAAGAATTTCACGTAAAAATACGAGAATAGACGTCTAGAAATTCTAGAATTCTAGAAATCCCCTTTTTACCTTGATTTTTTTTTAAATTTGGCATTTGATACATTTGATACATGACATTTGATACAAAATACATTGTTAAAGACCTAAATTTTCTTTTTTTAAATCATTAGATCGAGAGTTGAATCTTTAGATTTTATTAGAAGCTCAGAAGCTCCCGAGCTCTGAATGGAAGCTCCCGAGCTCTGAATGGAAGCTCCCGAGCTCTGAATGGAAGCTCCCGAGCTCTGAATGGAAGCTCCCGAGCTCTGAATAGAAGCTCCCGAGCTCTGAATAGAAGCTCCCGAGCTCTGAATAGAAGCTCCCGAGCTCTGAATAGAAGCTCCCGGGCTCTGAATAGAAGCTCCCGGGCTCTGAATAGAAGCTCCCGGGCTCTGAATAGAAGCTCCCGGGCTCTGAATCATTATATCTAGAAAATCATTCTTTCAAGAGTCGCTTTATCAAGAGTCTACTCTACCTAGATCCATCAAAATCACAATCTAAACAATCTTTCTTCAAAAAAATCGATACAAAGTGAATTCGGTTGACGAATTCTTTGATTTTTCGCATTTGAAAGAAAACTGACTTGGCTCTAGGCCTTAGAAAAGCCCGATTTTATGAATAAAAGTTAGCAAAAGTTCTTTTGTTTTGTTTTTTTGTTTTGCTTTTTTATATGCATATTGTTTTTTTAGACTTGCTCTGTTAGATTTTACTGTTTACTGAACTTACAGGACTTAGGTTTTTTCATACGGGCTTAGTTAAGCTTAGTTAAGCTTAGTTTCATACGTATTACAAAAATATCATGTGAACGTTTTACTTATTTCATTCTACTCAAAAAGAAACACTTTTTCCTTTAAAAAAATCTTTTAGTAATCTTTTTTCAATTCCGAGAAACCGATACAAACTGAATTGGCTAAAAGTCTTTCATTTTTTCGTATCCTAAAGAAAAAGAGATAAAGTTTTGCCTCTGTTTAGCTTAGCTTTCAAAATTCAACTTGTTGTTTTTGAATTCTAAAAGAGTTTAGAAGTAAAAAAATTTAGAAGTAAAAGAATTTCGAATTCTGGAAGAGTTTAGAATTCTAGAAGAGCTTCGAATTCTGGAAGAGCTTCGAATTCTAGAAGAGTTTCGAATTCTAGAAGAGCTTCGAATTCTAGAAGAGCTTCGAATTCTAGAAGAGCTTCGAATTCTAGAAGAGCTTCGAATTCTTGAAGAGCTTCGAATTCTTGAAGAGTTTCGAATTCTAGAAGAATTCCCAATTCTCAAGATCCCAATTTCATGATTCTATTTCATGATTTCAAATTCTAAATTTACTAAAGAAACCCCAGTTTCCTTTTTCGGTGACATCAAAAAGAACAAGTCATAAATCTCAGCCGTTTTTTTTCGAAAAACCCTGATCTAGTCCTCGTTTTTTTTCAAGAAAATTTCTATATTTCAAGCAATTCAACCAGCAAAAAAACCCCTCGGGATCTCTTTTTGACTTTAGCTTTCTTTAAGTCCAAATCCAGTGAAGAGAAAGTGAAGAGAAGACACGCGAGGATCTAGAAAGAGAAGAAAAAAAGAGAAAAACGAAGAGCCAATCTTCTTTTTCTCACAAGAATCATTGATTCAGAAACATTCTTGTTGAGAACTTGAGTTCTTTGCATTCTTTGCATTCTTTGCATTCTTTGCATTCTTTGCATTCTTTGCATTCTTTGGAACAATTCGTTTCCTTCATTCTCTGCGAGATTCCACTGAAAACTGTTCTACAATGATTGCCAAACAGTTCTAAAACCTTTAAACACCCTTCAATTCATCAAAACTTTCTGTAAAACAGAAAAACTCATTGAGGAATTTGAATTTGAGGAAAATTTGAGAAAAAGAAAAAGCAGGAGTTTTTCTTCAGAGGAATTTCCATTCATTGGCATGATCATCGAGATTTTCGGCTCTAAATTGAGTTCTAGAAATTCAAATTCATCTAGAAAAGTCAACTGAATTGAAGTGCTCAATTTGCAAGCATTTATTGACAAAGTGACACCTATAAATTTCTGTTATTCTAGCGAATTTTGGCACAAAACAAGCCCGCAAAATCCGCAAAAATTTTTTCGCACGAATTTCCCCACGCCTTTCCAGCAATTAACCGCAATTCAAACCGCAATTAGCTCCCGAAAAGCTATCAATATTTAATTATTCTTTCTAGAAATTACTACTAACAACAGCTAGATTAATAAATTTACAAAAATCTATTCAAAAAGCTGAACAAAAAAGCTGAATAAAAAAGCTGAATCTCTTAGAAGTCCCACCTGGCCCTAAACGATTCAATTTGGACAATTTGGACAAAGCTATAAATTCAAAGACTTGAAAAAACCAAAATTGTAATCCAAATAAATGCTAAGTTCAAGATAAAATTTAAATTATCGATATTTTACTATATTTTACTATATATTTCTATATATTTCTATATATTTCTATATTTTCCTTAACACTTTTTCTTAATGAAGCAACAAGGCCAAACTGGGAACGAAAAGCATCGAGAGATCATGTAAAGAACAAAGGACAAACAACAAACAACAAAGAACAAAGAACAAAGAACAAAGAACAAAGAACAAAGAACAAACAACAAAGAACAAAGCACAAAGAACAAACAACAAAGAACAAAGAACAAAGAACAAAGCACAAAGAACAAAGAACAAAGCACAAAGAACAAACAACAAAGAACAAACAACAAAGAACAAGCACAAACAACAAAGAACAAAGAACAAAGCACAAAGAACAAAGAACAAAGAACAAACAACAAACAACAAAGAACAAACAACAAACAACAAACAACAAAGAACAAAGAACAAAGAACAAAGGACAAAGAACAAAGAACAAAGAACAAAGAACAAACAACAAGCACAGAACAAAGAACAAAGCACAAACAACAAAGAACAAAGCACAAACAACAAACAACAAACAACAAACAACAAAGAACAAAGAACAAAGAACAAACAACAAAGAACAAAGAACAAAGAACAAACAACAAAGAACAAAGAACAAAGAACAAACAACAAAGAACAAACAACAAACAACAAACAACAAACAAAAAAGCACAAACAACAATGAAAAACTAATCTTTTTTAAAGCCTAGCCACTTTAAAGCCACTTTAAAGTCTAAGAATTGGTAATTTAAAGAATTTGAGAAACTTTTTCGATTTAATCTTTTGCTTTTTAGAGCCCGTATGCAATATGGAGTTGAAACGAGCTTCAAATCAAGACTTCAGCAGTACTTCATTGAGAATCACTCATCAAGTGAGTTAGTTTAAAGATTGTTCTACTAAATAACTTACCTTAGTCGATTGTTATATTAAATAACTTACCGCAAATACTATAATAGTACCCCACCCCCATAATGACGGTGCGGAGTGTTGCGTAGCTCTAGCTTTGAACGAGTTTTTCTCGACACTGGTTTATGCTACAATGTTCGCTTGGGTATCAAAAAAATAGCTGAAATTCAGGGCTATTTTTTGATACCTAAACGCACATTGTAGCATAAACCAGTGTCGAGAAAAGCTCGTTCAAAGCTAGAGCTACGCTCCGCATTGTCATTATGGGGGTGGGGTACTATTACAGTATTTACGGTATAATTATTTCCAAAAGGAATCAAAATCGACTAGAAATATGGACGAAATTTAGACAAAAATCAACAAAAACAAGAAATATCGACCAAAATTTAGCATCCAGAATGGAAATTTCACTTGGAAAACTTGCTATTTTTGAAAAACTAATGCCAGATTATGAAAAATCAGCTATTTTTTACCCTAATATACTCTTTTTTTGATACAATTTATATCCATAAATATTAGATAAAGTGTTTTCTGTGTTTGGATCCAAAAAAAAGTGCACTACCATAAAGCGTAAGATCAACTCATAGTGAATTTTCTTTTAAAATCTGTTAGATAGTACATTACATAGTACATTACATAGTACATTACATAGTACTGTATTACACTTACTACTATGTTTTACAGTGCGTATTACTCGATAGTGCAACTAGTGCAACTATAATGGATCTAGTAGCCTTCAGCTACAGCTAAAGCATTCAGGATTCCTACCTAGAAAGATCCAGATCCAAAAGATCTTTCTAAAAGATCCAAAAGATCTTTCTAAAAGAATCAAAAGATCTTTCTAAAAGATCCAAAAGATCCAAAAGATCTTTCTAAACTCATTCCCCTTTAATCTCTTTTTTTTTAGGTCTTCGGATCCGAATCTTCAACTTTTTCATCAAAGTTCTTTCGTGTATTTTGTACATTGTGAGGGTGATTGAAGATGATGGAGTCGTCGATCCAGGCGCAAAGATACCGCCAATCGAATTCCCGCCTAATGGAACGGCTTTATGGTGAGAGTGGATTTGTTCGGCTTTTAGTGAATAGGCTAAGTTGAAGTGATCGCTGGACAATGAAATATCATATTTGAAAAAAGATCGTCACCTTCGCGCGTCTGTAACTTCCTTGTCTTTACGGTATTTCTAAATATGAATATTATCATTGTGTAGCCCTTGAAAATAGCTTTCAGAAAATGTATAACACTAATAGTTTAAACTCAAAGACAAGGGAGTTACAGAGGCGCGAAAGTGTCGATCGTTTTTCAAATATGATATTTCATTGTCCAGTACTGTATGGGTAGCACAGATAACGTCAAGGCTGCACTAGAGCTTCAAGATCATCAAGAATATATGGGTAGCACAGTCGCTATAATATAGTATGTTTGACAATGATGATTGTGCCAAAAAGCTAGACCAATTCAAAAGTCTGACAAATCGCTGTCTTGCTGACAAATCGCTGATAATATCAATTGGAAAATGAATCAATAAATGTTCTTTTCAGTAACGACGTTTTTTGGATTAAAATCTCATGGAATCTATGGGCTTCACAAACGTTTGTGGCAGCGATTAGCATAACCGAAACGCTACTCATCTTCTACATCACATTCAAGGTTTAATTCGAAAAGAAAATTCGTAAAAAAAAGTCAATAAGAATACAGTCAATAAGAATAATTAACAAAGAGTATCTCCAAAAGCTTAGTATCGACTGTCAGTGACTGTCAGTGATCATTAAAGGTGTTGAATGATTGATTTCAGGGAAATGTGTGGCGTGTCCTGATGAACAAGCATTTTCTCCTCGAAATGGTCACAAGTTTCCCGCTAATCATGACGGTTTTTTTCCAAGAATATCGAATCATGTTTGTGCCAGTGTTCCTCAATTGTTGGCTAGCGAAAAGTGAACTTCAAGCAATGCTGGTAACGATTTTCAAAAGTTTAAGATAACAGAAAGAATTTCAAAAATCTTTAGCACGATTTAAACCGTGTCTCCATTGTCAATCAATCGGCTTTAAGTCGTCAAATGGTCATCTTGTTCTCTACGCTTATTTGTTTATTGTTCACAGGTATGCTTACTTGAAAAGGTAGATTTTCGTATTTTCTCTAATAGTAGTGCACCCTGAGCGTTGCCTAAATTGCTCGAAATCTCGAGAACCGCTTATCAGAACCTATCGATGTGGGGTCGGAAAATGTAGCTGACGATGAGATCTAGTAGGGGATTTGAGTGTTGAGCGTCTGGGAAAAGCTTGGGAACTGTAAAATGGTCGTCAACTCGGCTCGGCCGGGGGAGGAGGAGAGACCGGGGGAGGAGGAGAGACCGGGGGAGGAGGAGAGGCCGGGGGATCTAATCATCCTGAGCCTTACCTAAATTGCTCGAAATCTCAAGAACCGCTTATCAGAACCTATCAATGTGGGGTCGGAAAATGTAGCTGACGATGAGATCTAGTGGGGGATTCGAGTGTTGAGCTTCTGTGAAAGCTTGGGAACTGTAAAATGGTCGTCAACTCGGCTCGGGGTGCACTAGTATTAGAGAAAATACGGTACGGTAAATACGGTCACTTTAATTCTACAGACAAGATCACATTTCTTGTTAACAGTTTTCAAAACATGGATATTGAATTGAAAATTCAATTGAAATTCAACTTGAATTCAATTGAAATTCAAATTGAATTCAAATTCGAATTCAAATTCAAATTCGAATTCAAATTCAAATTCAATTCAAATTCAAATTCAAAAAGCTTTGTATTCTTTTCTTTTTCTTATCAAGTGAAGATTTTAGGTGCTTGCGGTTTTCAACACTTGCAACGATGTGGGGATCGGCGAGTCGATTTGATTACGAGTTTCTACTTTACAATGGTCACTTTCTCGACAGTTGGATATGGAGATTGGTGAGTTTCAGAGTTCTAAATAACAAAGCACAATACGTATTTAATCTATTTGACAAAATCCAAGCGATGCACATCAAAAACAATTCTAATACTAGTTATAATTATAACTAGTCGTTGATCTAGTAGCACTAGACATGAGAAGCCGAGCCCAATTCTAAGCCGAGCCCAATTCTAAGCCGAGCCCAATTCTAAGCCGAGCCCAATTCTAAGCCGAGCCCAATTCTAAGCCGAGCCCAATTCTAAGCCGAGCCCAATTCTAAGCCGAGCCCAATTCTAAGCAGAGCCCAATTCTAAGCCGAGCCTAATTCTAAGCCGAGCCTAATTCAAAGCCGAGCCTAATTCTAAGCCGAGCCTAATTCAAAGCCGAGCCTAATTCAAAGCCGAGCCTAATTCCATCTTAGCTCACCCGTTTCTTAGCTGATTGCTTTGAAATCTTGGCTACAATTTTGCCTACAATTTTGTCTACAATTTTGTCTACAATTTGTCTAAAATATCGATTTCTTTCTGTAAACAAGATTTCAAAGCAATCCACCAAGAAACAGCCGAGAAAACGAAGATGGAATTAGGTTCGGCTTCAGTTTTCCCATGTCTACCTGATACTATCCAGTTGTACATCTCCATACCTTAACACAAGCTACGTTAAACCTATCATATTCTTTTATCTGCTTTACATCTATGCTTACCTAAAGTATCTTTATTTTTGAAATTCTTATCTAAAAATATCAGATACTTAAACTATCCACACTTTTCTCAAAAGCTTTCGAAAGTTTTCTCAAAATTTGACCTTACGCCGAACTCAGGTATATCAAAATCGTAAGAACTAGATAAAAATTTGATCGTAAGAGCTAGATAAAAGCTTTTAGGCGCATAATATTAGAAACTGATCCGGGTACAACTTTGTTTTTGAGTGTAAGTCGACATCTCACAAAGAGAAAAGAAATACAGCCGCCTACCAGTGTCTAAAACATTCTGAGCGCATCATTACCAGTGTCTAAATCACTGTACGGGAATTCTTTCTTCAAGGTACCCTGACACGTGGCTCTCGAAATTGCTGGTAATCGGTTTGATCATCATGATGTTGTTGATGTTACCACAACAACTCGAGAAACTCACTCAAACTTGGCTCGAGAAGGAACGATCTGGAGGAGATTTGGCGACTGGATGGGGAAATCAGGTAGACCAAATTCATTAAGCTTTCCCATTCAAATTGAAAGTTGAGTTGAGTTGTTGAGTTGAGTCAAAAGTTGAGTCAAAAGTTGAGTCAAAGTTGAGTCAAGGTTGAGTCAAAAAGTTGAGTCAAACGGTTTGAAAGAGGATGTGGATTTCATTGTAATGTAATTTCGATTTTAGGAAGCGCATGTCGTTGTCACAATCACTCATTTGGAAGTGGAGTTTATCAAAGACTTCTTGACTGAATTTTATGCTCATCCGGAGAATCAGGTAGGAAATTTGGTCAATTTTGACGAAAAACGGTATTCAGTTGAAACTCTGCATCCTTTTATCCCCATCAGAACTGGATAACCAAATGAGAATGTTGCTGAAAATTCCCCTTTGGTCACAACGAGTGAAATACGTGAGAGGCAGTGCGCTGAGGGATGAGGATTTGGAGAGGTAAAGAAGAAGACGGCAAAATTATGGAACGAATGCTTATTGATGAATTAAAAGAAGAAACTAAAGCAAGTACTGTGTTATCTATCATTTGAAAGCTCTTAATGAATAGCTGAAAGCTCTTAATGAATAGTAGAGCTCTTAATGAATAGCTGAAAGCTCTTAATGAATAGTACAAAGTAGAGTCGCTAAGTCAACAATTTGTGTCAATCTTGGAGAAGATTGCCTAAGATCTAAACGGACCTAAGGACCTAAACGGACCTAAGGACCTAAACGCGAGACTCCTGAACAAGCTGTTCTTTTATTTTAAGCGTCAACTAGATCAGTTACTATACTGACTATATCTGCATTAAATACATGAATAAAAACCACACCAATACATAGGTTACGTCCGAATCCGAACTAAACCCAACTAAACCCAACTAAACCCAACTAAACCGAACAAAACTGAACTAAACCCTTGACCTGACTTTGCGTGCCTGTAACTCCAAGACCAAGTCAGCCAATTTTAATGATTTTGGCCTTATTTTGGCTGATTTTGGCCTCATTAGATCAAGACTTATAAATTCTTAAAATAAAGTTACATGTGAAAAAAGTTAATTAAAAAAATTGGAAATTAGTTCGGATTCGGACGTTCGACTTTTGAGAAAGATTTGAAAGATTTATAAGATTTGTATAAGATTTGCCATGGAATCATGGATTTGCCATCCCTCTAATAACCCAAATTTTAGAGCTCGAGTCAGCACGGCAAAAGCGTGCTTTATTCTGTCGGCTCGACACGTGCAAAAGAAGATCACAACGGTGGGGGAAACTCGACAAGTGTTTAGATAAAATTAGAGCTTTATCAACGTGCATCCGTGCATAGGTGCATAGACGAATTTGTTTAGGACGAACACACAATCCTCCGCTCTTGGGCCATCAAGGATTTTGCGCCTCAAGTCCCGCAATATGTTCAAATCTTTCGACCTGAGACAAAAATGCATTTGAATCATGCTGGTTTGTTAAGAAGGCGAGATGAAAAACTTGAAACTTTTTAGAAGTTTGTATCTGCGAGGATGAGTTGAAGTATTCCCTTCTGGCGAACAATTGCGTTTGTCCGGGAATTTCCACATTCTTGACGCTTTTAATGCACACAAGTCGAGGAGAGTAAGTGATTTTGGGAAAGAAATACTGTAGGTGATTGTAAATTGAATAATTCAGCAATACCAGTCAGCAATTGTTAAGCAATTGTTTAGCAATTTGAGTAGGCCATGGCGGTTTTAGCCAGTCGGCCTTGGCGGCTTTAGCCAGTCGGCCATGGCGGCTTTAGCCAATCGGCCATGGCGGCTTTAGCCAATCGGCCATGGCGGTTTTAGCCAGTCGGCCTTGGAGGCTTTAGCCAGTCGGCCTTAGCGGCTTTAGCCAGTCGGCCTTAGCGGCTTTAGCCAGTCGGCCTTGGAGGCTTTAGCCAGTCGGCCTTAGCGGCTTTAGCCAGTCGCCCTAGCGGCTTTAGCCAGTCGCCCTTAGCGGCTTTAGCCAGTCGGCCTTGGGGCTTTAGCCAGTCGGCCTTGGAGGCTTTAGCCAGTCGGCCTTGGCCTTGTTTACTAAATTTGGTTTCTAAATTTACTGTTTACTAAATGTTTATCTAAATTTGGTTCCTTATCTCTCTAAATTTGGTCCATTATCTCTCTATATTTGCTTCCTTATCTCAGTAAATTTGGCCAAGGCCTTGGCGGTTTTAGCCAATCACCCATGGCGTATATTTAAGATGCAATTAAACGAAATGTAATGAAAGCTTTCACAAAGCGTCATCTCCATCTCTTTAAATCATTTTCATTTCAGAGAAGGCCAAAAATCTACTGAACCCTGGCATAAAGTCTACGGTTTTCATTCTGGCAATGAAATCTACGACATCATGGTACAAGATTCGAAATTCTTTGGTGATTTCGTTGGAAAGAGCTTCACTTATGCATCATTTCATGCACATAGAGCGTGAGTTTTAAAACCTAAACGATAAAGCTTTATGTGCCCGCTTTCAGATACGGTATTGGGTTGATTGGGGTGAAAACGAACGAGATCGAGTCAAAGATGAGACTCAACCCTGGCCTCACGCACATCATTCAGCCAAGTGACACCGTTTATTATATGGGATTGACAAATGAGGAGTCATTGTATGATTTCCGGAAAGATCTGAAGAATCAACGACTAAAGGCAACGTTGGCCAATTCGATCGCCAATGTTGGTGAGTTTGGAGAGAACTTTTTCGAGTACTTTTTCAAAGTTGCGAACACATTTCTTGATGCAGCACTTGTTTCTGGTTTATTCAAAGATCAAGTGCAGAGATTTTCCAATCGGAACAGACCAGGTTTGGCCGATTGTGGGCCCAGCCCTTTTTCCCATTAGCAATCTAGCTTTGAGCTCAAATTTCTTGGTGTTGGGCTTTTCAATTTATAAATTCTTGATATCATTAAATGCGCCAAGTCTTTCTCTGTCGATTGGTACAAAAACTACTTAAATTGGACAGTTCAACACCGAGATATTTGAGCTCAAAGTTGGATTGACAATGGTAAAAGGGGCTGGGCGCGTATAAAATGTCCGATAGCCGGTTTGGCCAAATAAGCCTGACTATTTGGTCTAAGCTAGGTCTAAGCCTGGCTTCTGACAAGCCCAGATACTTTTTGTGGACTAAATCTACTAAGCCAGCACAGTTCAAGCAGAGCCAGAAGCCAGGCCAGGCCAGCCAAGCCAGGCCAGCTTCTAGCCTGAGCCTGACCTTGTCTATTTCCATCTATTGATTCCAAGTACTGTGGGTCCAATAGCTTAAAATGTACAGGTGTAGCTAGTAAAGTAATGCTCGTCAAAAACTGGTAACTTTTCGTAGAACTTTTCTTGATCGCAGGTACTGTGGCGATCATAGTGGAAGAGCCATCCTCGAGTGAGCCATCAATTTCCCCCGTAAAAGAGACGCCCTCATCTTCGCGTCGATCCAATCCCGATTTCCATATTCCGGCTCCATTTTGTGATATCCATCTGACAAGAGGCCGATCGGCTAGTATGAAAAATCACAAGTGTGAACCCAAAAAAGCACAAAAATCACTTCCAAACTCCCAATTTCACAATTTGAGTTATCCCAAACCCAATGCAGGATGATCAATCAATGATCAATGCCACTTTTGGTTGTTTAGAAACAAAAGTATCAGTAAATTTTAGGCACTGTTGCCATGGATGTTCCACATTTGGAATCAGGAGGAAACAATGTGAAACGAGAGAAACGAAAGAGGATTGGATTGTTGAGAAAAGCAAAGGTTTTTTGGCTTTGATTAACTTATTTAACTTATTTGAGCCCTTATTGTTGTAAAATTTCAATCAGCAATTTGATTTTGATGCATGTGATTTCAGCAAACGGATGAGATGAGACTGATTGAGGTGGAGAACAATATCGATCGACGACCGTCTGTCGGAATCGTCGCTGAGGTGAGTTAGGAAAATTAAGAAATTTCTGATTTATTTGATTTCAATAAGCGAAAAAACTGCACTAAAATTGTATACGATTTCTATTAGAGTGTTTTAGAGAGAGATCTATTATTTTCCTCGCGAGTAATGCGTTTTTTAAAACCCACACTGGGGAAAAACTTACCGTACTTTTAGAGGAAACTATTGCAAAAAAATTACGAGCGTCGACTTATATACGACTGCTTTTAAAGATATTCAGTCGTTTAACTGATTTGACGACAAATCCCTTTAAATATAAAGATATTCAGCTAACTCATTTGGTGACAAAATCCTTTCAGCTTTAAAGATATTCAGCCTTTTGACTGATTTCGTCGCAAATTCCCTTCAGATTTAAAGATATTCAATTTACTCGACGTGTACAAAGGATTCCTCGTAGTTACTCGACCAAAAAAAACGTCGATTACCGTATTTTCTCTAATAGTAGTGCGCACTACTATTTTTTCAACCCCCCTCCTGCCTGCACTACTATTACAGACTGCACTACTATTACAGACTGCACTACTATTACAGACTGCACTACTATTATAGACTGCACTACTATTACAGACTGTACTACTATTATAGACTGCACTACTATTACAGAAAATACGGTAATCAAGGAAAAATTACTCGTGCGGGTCTTACTCAATTTTTTTTAAAGATATTCAACTGATTTGCTTTAACTTACTCGGAAGGAACAGGGGTAGGCTAATTTCCGCAATTTTTTTTTGCGCAACTGGGCCGTTTGCGCAACTCGCCATAACTCTCTTCTAAGTCAGCCAATCTTTATGATTTTGGTGTCATTTTGTAGATCTCAATAAGTGCAACAAAATGACACCAAAATCATAAAGATTGGTCCACTTAGAAGGAAGTTATGTTGAGTTAAACCCACAGTAATCCGGCGGTGGCTACTTTGCGCCAAAGCAACTGGCTCTGCGCCATAACTTTCTCCTAAATAAGCCAATCTTTATGATTTTGGTGTCATTTTGTTGCACTTATTGAGATCTACAAAATGACACCAAAATCATAAAGATTGGTCTACTTAGAAGAAATTTATGGCGATTTGCGAACGACCCAGTTGCGCAAAAAATTTGGCAAAGTAGCCTACCCCAAGGAACACACTCTAGTTGGGGTAATTAACAAATTTCTGATGCTATTTGATTTCAATAAGCGACGTATTTGCACCAAAATTTTTTACGATTTTTTATTTGTGGCAGTTTTTTGTCTAGATTTTTATGGACCAATAAACAAACTTCTGTTCTTTTCTTTTTAGCACTTCAAAGTGCTCATGAAAGCTTTGCTGAAAGTAGTTTTGTCTGTTTAGAACCCTTTCAAATCTTTTCTTACCATTTTAAACGAATAATCAATCCTATTTCTAAGTATTATTATTGATTTAAGTATAACTTTGCTCGCTTTAAATCTTTGTTTACCATTTTTAACCAGTTGTTTACCATTTTTAACCAGTTGTTTACCACTTTTCATCCAATCCTGGAATTATACGAGTTTTCAAGTTAAAGTTTTTCATTTAGAACAACGAATCCACCTCTACATCAAGCGATGAAGATGAGAATCGCTGTGATCGATGTCTCAATGCCGGCAGAGTTCGATGTATTCAATCAGAGTGAGTTTTAAATCTAGAAATTATTAAATACTTGCTAAATTTCTCTTATGGCCGAATTTCCAGAACCGAACGCTCGTTTCCGAAGCGAAAAACCTACATCGGAGCCAGTCCCACAGTTTGCCATGTGTTGAAGAAAAAGAGGGATCTCTGCTGCTTGCAAATTCATAAGGTAAATGGATTTTTGATCTTAAAACTTTTAAAATCCTTACCTTCTATTAGGTTGGTGCATAAGTCTTTGCAAATTTTTGTTTCCATAGAAAAGAATCCTTTACGAAATTTGTTCAATAAATCATGAAAAAGATCTATCATTTCTTTACAAAATGACTTTTGAGAGAAAGCTTAAAGCTAAAGACAGCTTAAAGACAGCTTAAAGCTCGCCTCAACTCGATAAAAACGCATTTTTATGTAAAATTTTCAATTGCTGCTTTAAAGAAAACCGCTAAACGGATAGTTTTCAAATTTTATAGACTTATGTAATCAAATGAGCTCTATCTTTTTACCAAAATAGGTTTGTATTGAAGTAATTGAAATAAATTGAAGAAAGCGTCCAAATTCGGCTTTTGAGTTTTGAGTGCTTGCCTTTGCGCCTTTGAAAATCCACAAAAACAACTACTTTTAAGAATTTACCAAAAGTCATTTTGCAGAGAAACAATTAGACCTATTTGCAAAAAAACCTTTTTAATAGTTTAAATAGAAATTTTGTTGGTAACGGCATTATTTTTAAAAGGCGTTTGGAAAAAAAAAATTATAGACTTTGCACAAACTTAATATTATATTCAGGCTTGCTCCCATTTCCCTTATGTCTCGGCAAATAAATACAAATGGCAAAACTCGGCAATCATCCTGGCTGCCGATCGAGTCTCATCCGGAATGTACAATTTGATCATCCCTCTGAGGTAAACTAGTTTTTAAAAATAAAGCTATCTGTTTGTAGATCTTGATTTGTAGATGTTTGTAGATAACAGTTAAGGAATTTGTCTTTTAGAGCCTACTATCGACCAGTGCACGATCTTCGTCCAATCGTTTTGTTATTGGAACAAGAAGGCGGAGAAGATCCAGATCCCGTTTTTCTTGATGTCATTTCCTATTTCCCGGATATTTATTGGATGCCTGGAAGGTTATCAAGGTCGGTTTTACTATAAGGAAAAGTAAAAGGCAGGCAGTAAAAGGAGTAAAAGGCATCTAATTGTAAGTAAATGTGCTTATAGATCAAAGCAAAGCGTTCTAAAAAGTCTTATCAATTTCTCAAATTACCAAATTTATTTCCAGTTTGGACAGTCTCCTCAAAGCCGGCGTTTGTCAATCGGAGAACGTGGTTGTGGTGAGAGAAACGGCTGTGGTTGGAGAGGAACACTTGGCGGATTCAACCACGATCATTACTGTGCAGAAAATTCACTCGTAAGAAGACACAAATCATTCACAGCAAAACCTTTTGCTTCTTTCAGCTGGTTCCCGGCTCTCCGTATCGTCACCGAGTTGACCCATACAAGTAACATGAGATTTATGATGTTCAATCCGCACGATCCCTACTCGCTTCAACAAAGCAAATTTGAAAAGGTAAGTGTTGAGTTCTTTTGATCCAAAAATGAATTATGAACATTTTTCTTGAAGTTTCAAGCTGCCACCATTTTGAATACCATAAATATTCTAATAGAAGAGCCCCTATAGGAGCGTCGCGTAGTCTAAGTTTACACTCAAAGGACCGCTCATATCTCGGCGCCGGGACTTTCTTTCTGCGCGCTTAGATATCAAATTAAAGTAGAGAGGATAGGTGATTTTTTTTTTGAGGTATAACACATATTTTTAGCATTAACCAGCGCTTAGAACAAAATGATTGAAAAATGATGAAAAATCGACTTTTTGCATCATTTTTGAATCATTTTGTTCTAAGCGCTGGTTAATGCTAAAAATATATGTTATATCAAAAAATCACCTATCCTCTCTATTTTAATTTGATACCTAAGCGCACAGAAGCGAACGTACTGATGCGGAGATATGAGCGTTTGTTTCAGTGTAAACTTAGACTACGCGACCCTCCTATCGGGGCTCTTCTATTAGATTTTTTGGGCACTTTAAAGAGAATCCTCCCAAGAAGATTCTGTAACAAAGTCTTTTGATTTTCAGAAAGAACGCAGGCGTGGCTCCAACATGCCTTACATGTTCCGTTTGCCTTTTGCTCAAGGTGGTGTCTTCTCAGCAAACATGTTGGACAGATTGTTGTATCAGGTACATTTTTTAAGGTGCACAGAGCAAAATACGAATGAATTTTAGTCTATCATCAAGCCATATCTCGTGAGCTTGACTCGGCTCTTCTTGGGAATCGATCAGAATCCGGGAAGTGGATATTTGGCATCGGTGAGTTTTAAAAACAACATTGTAGCTGTAAACAAATAGTGCTATAACTAGGATTTCTTTTTTTTTCCTTTTTTTTTTGCTAAACAAAGCTTTATTTTAGTTCGAAATCACTGAGGAAGATTTGTGGATCAAAAGCTATGGTCGATTGTATCAAAAGCTGTGCTCATCTGTGGCCGATATTCCGTTGGGAATCTTTCGGTCGAAAAGAATGGATGCTACTACGGTAATTGGAGCTGAATACTATAAATTAGATATCTAAAAAATTACTTGTCTGACATTGATTTGGATTGATTTACTCGGAGGATAACTAAAGACCAAACTAGGCGAGGGGTTCGTAAACGCGTGCCTTCTGGACTTCTTATGCAAATTCGGAGCCCACTCTTCCAGAAATCTCATATCTTGAGTTCGAACCTTATATCTGGATATTTATTGTGCCAGAAGTCACGCATTTACGAGCTTTTGTATAAATAGAGGCTTGTATCAATCAATCAATTAGGTATCAATCGATATCGAGGAAAGATGTCGATCTCTTGAAATCCCGAACACTCACCGTTTCATGAAAAATGAAGTGAGAGATATGGTGAAGAATCGAATGAGATATTTGGATATGAGTCTCGATGATCATAGTAAGAGAATAGTAAAAGGTTTTTCATAAAAATATCTAGATCTTGATCGATATGATAACCGAGATACAATGATCAGCTATGTTCTCATCAATCCATCCGCTGATTTGGCGCTCGAGGCCGGGGATATTGTGTGAGTCAATGTCAATGAGATTTAGTAGACAAAAATTAAGATTTGTTCTGTAATATCAATTCGTATTAATATTTATTTTTACCGTTCTCTAGCAATAAGAGCAAAGGCCTCAAGTCTGTAAACAATCAAAAAAACTTTTATGGAGATGGCTACTTTGCGCCAATTTTTTTGCGCAACTCGCTATAACTTTCTTCTAAGTGCGTCAATCTTTATAATTTTAAAGTCATTTTGTTGCACTTGTTGAGATCTTCAAAATTACACCAAAATCATGAAGATTGCTACACTTAGAAGAAGAAGAAGAAAGTTGTGCAAAAAATTTGGCGCAAAGTAACCATTTCCGATTCTTATCTCTGACTTAAATACAAAAAAATGGCCTTGTTTAAACGTGTTAAAGCCAATATCTACTTTCAGCTACGTTCTCCGTAGCCCGGTCAGCGAGAATGCTAAACCGACAAAAGTGAATCCACGACGAGGATTGAGAAGATCGAGACAAGTGACTGAGGCCAGCGAACCACCGCCCTATAATGCATCTCAAGGAGTGCCACGAATTATGTAAGTGTTGAAATCGATAAACTGATCTTTGATCCAAGTTTTAGTCATAATTTGTCGAATTTTACATAGTCTTTGTAAGTACATAAACCCTTTAGAGGATTTATTGTTGTATCAGGTTGATCGGAAAGTCTTGTTTGCTTTTTGAAATGTTATTTTTTGAAACGAATAATGAACCAATCAATCTATGGTTTGTTTTATCAGAAAGTCCTAATATTTATTTACCCTTTGCCCTTTAAGAAATTCTGAATAGCTCGCGTGAATTAATTTTTTTAAAAGTGCGAAGTCAAGCAGTCAAAAACGATGAAACTCAAAGTTCCGATTTGAGCTCCTTTTCTCACAGAAACCTATTTTGGTGTAAAAAGAGTAAAGATAGAGAATGAAAAGTTAGGTAGATAGACAAATTTTCAGAACATTTCACCAAGCCGTTTTCATTCTATGTCCATTGTAAGGATTTTAGGAAAAAACAAGAATTCCCGTTTGGGTTTGCTTCAAAGTGGACAAAAATTTGCTTAAAAATTAGCTAAATGAAATAGTTAATCTTTTTTATTTAAAGCAAATCACACGTTTATTGACTAATTATTTATAAACGAAAATTTCAAAAAGGTAGACAAGACTTTCTGGCCAAACCAATATCTTATCAAGATTTAAAATCTTCTTTCTGTTGTCAACAGTTGATTCTCCTGGCGACAACTTGATTTTTTAAAAAAACTAATGAGTCAAGTGCTCCAGAAAGAGTGTGTTTTGACGAGCACAAAGTAAAGATGGGTGTAACGGGAAAAGTCTCATCGTTAGATAAAGAAATCCTTGTGTTACAATGATAAATTATTCGAAAATGTTTAAATAAAATTTTATCAACCAAATAAATTTGCAAAACTTCGCAAAACCAGATTCCCTTTGAGTAGTTTAGTCAGCTGATTCGTTTTTGAGTAAGACAAACTTTCAGCCCAATTTATGTGGAGCTCTCCGATCTAGAGATCACCGAGACCACCGTGGTACTTTTGAAATCAAAGCCCTCAGTTCAAATTTTCTCACTCACTGCATGATCTTCAAGGATTTTTCGTATTCAAACGGCATTTCAGAGTCCCATGACGAGTCAATGGTCAATTCATCCGCCTCCGAAACAAATCTCACGACGACAACGGGCTAAACTTGCACCCAGGGGACTTAGCGTTTAAAATTACTATCTCTTAAGATCTCTTATCGATTTTCGCTTTACATTTTATCACAAAAATTTTTTTGAGCAAAATTTGCATATATACCGGTATCCTTTTTTTGCTTCACTTTTACCTTTTTTCCTTAATTTTTTCTTTTCAGCCAAAGATTGCCCTTTTTTTTACCCCAAAGATGCTTTTTTTTTGTGATACGAAGTGCTACGATTGATTTGAGATTATTAAAAGCATAATAAAGTTTTAGGATTTGATATTTAATCTTTAAATACTTTTTGTTATTCATCAAAGTATCTACTATGAAATGGGAAAGACAAATAAATGAGTGATCATATTCTCAGATTCGATGCCAATTTACTCTTTCAGGTTCAAGCCGTAACTAAATTCGAATCTAGCGGAAAATTCGTCAAATACAATACCGAGCAAAAGTCTTGCGACATCACTTTTTCAAAAAAAATCGATGAAATTTTTTTATAGAAAATGCCATCCGTTCGTAAGGCTTTTTTGTTTTTAATTAGAATAATACATGTACACTTTATTTACAAAAATAAATTTGAAGTTCAGCGTAAAACAAAAAAGTAAATGACAAAACTACTAAAAAATACCCTAAAAACTGGGTGCAAAAGTCTTGCAACATTCTATGTTTCTCATTTTTTCGGTCTCATACATCTCATACATCTCATAAATTCCGATTCGATTTGGATCAAATTTGACTATGCCATGACTGAACATCTGGTCAGGAGACTCATGGCAGCCATGGCATCCAAAATATCTAATCTAATACCGTTCACCTTTAGCATTGAGTATACTCGTGAACTTCTGCCCTCTCTTCCTACTTTGTGCTTCTAGGTCTCAAAACTAAAGAACAAAAATAGAAAACTTCGAATTTCGATTTGATTTTCAGGAAAATTTGTTTCAAAACTTTCAACAATTTGAAAATTTCAACTTCTTCGAATTATCCGAACCAAAACCAATCCGAATTATCCGAACCGAACGAATTATTACCAACAATCACCTTAAGATTCAATTCAACTCCGATGTTTCTATATAAGCAAATATATATACTTCATTCGGCAAGTGAATAAGTGAACCAGCAAAATTTGCACATAATGGGAGACAATAATGAAATTTAGAGCGAAAACTCATATTGGAATGACAAACTACCCTAAACTAGCTTCACGATGGGAATTACAATTTTAAAAAATAGCAATTATTGTGCTAAACAAGAAATTGCTCTTTTGAAAGTGGGAGGAGACGACGTCTGATGTCTGATGCTAAGAGGAAGGGAATGCCATGCGCGAACAACACGATTGTGAAAGCAATTAAAAGTAACATCAGAAAGGGATCTAGGATACTTAAAAGATATACCTCTTCTGGAGCCTGAGGGGGCAGAGGGAGGAAAGAAATTCGCATAAAGGGGATCAGAATGTGTGCACTTCAGGATGTTAAAACATTCTAATAAGTCAATGACTAGCCGTCGGTGTTGCAGAGTATCTAAAAAATTTTTTTATTTTTAAATTTTTTTTTTTTATAAATTTATTATTAATATTAATTATATAAACAAAATTTTAAAAATTAAAATTTAAAAAAATATTTTAAAAAAAATTTAATAAAAAAAAAAAAAAAAAAAAAAAAAAAAAAAAAAATAAAAAAAAAAAAAAAAAAAAATTAAAAAATTTAAAAAATTTTATATATTAAATAAAAAAAAAAAAAAAAAAAAAAAAAAAAAAAAAAAAAAAAAAAAAAAAAAAAAAAAAAAAAAAAAAAAAAAAAAAAAAAAAAAAAAAAAAAAAAAAAAAAAAAAAAAAAAAGAAAAAAAAAAAAAAAAAAAAAAAAAAAAAAAAAAAAAAAAAGAAAAAAAAAAAAAAAAAAAAAAAAAAAAAAAAAAAAAAAAAAAAAAAAAAAAAAAAAAAAAAAAAAAAAAAAAAAAAAAAAAAAAAAAAAAAAAAAAAAAAAAAAAAAAAAAAAAAAAAAAAAAAAAAAAAAAAAAAAAAAAAAAAAAAAAAAAAAAAAAAAAAAAAAAAAATAATTTTTTTTTTTTAATTAAATTTATAATAATAAAAAAAAAAAAAAAATTTTAATAAAAAAAAAAAAAAAAAAAAAAAAAAAAAAAAAAAAAAAAAAAAAAAAAAAAAAAAAAAAAAAAAAAAAAAAAAAAAAAAAAAAAAAAAAAAAAAAAAAAAAATTTAAAAAAAAAAAAAATTAAATTTTTTTTTGGAAAAATTAATTTTTTTTTTTTTTTTTAATTTTTTTTTTTTTGTTTAAAAATTTTTATAAAAATAAAAATTTAAAAAAAAAAAAAAAAAAAAAAAATTTAAAAAAAAAAAAAAAAAAAAAAAAAAAAATATTTAAATAATAAAAAAAAAAAATTTCTCCCTCAAAAAAAAAAAATAAAAAAAAAAAAAAAAAAAAAAAATAAA